GACTAGAGACACAGCAGAGAGACAGGGGACCACACTGACTAGAGACATATATAACATATAATAGTGCATGTTTAACGAACTTTAACCATGGTAATTATTCAGTAACAGACTAAGATAAATATCTATATTTAATTGCAATTAATAAACAACGTGCTGCACAAGAATAAACCATGTTATTCATATTAAAATAACTTTACCTTTCACGGAGGAATTCCGCTGTGATCTCAACGCTTAGTGATCTGAAGGGCTGCTCACTCGCAGTGCATGCTGGGTAAAACGAATAACGCTTCAAGTAACGTTTGAAGAGGCAGCACCGCCACCTGGTGGACAATGTGAGGAGGTACAACTACAGACGGAAACTGCAGCCAAGGATTATGCACACGAGCTGTTGACAAGCTTTTCTGCTGCTGCTGATGATGATGATGATGATGAATGTAGCCTAATGATGAATGTAGCCTAATGCTAACAAAAGATGCCTGTACTCTACATTCAAATGAAGCATTAACAATTTGTTATAGATCGCCACATCTGCTTCAATATTGAACATAAAAGTTTGTTCTCAACCTTGAAAGTAGTCTGACAGAAAATGCTAAAGCGAGGTCCACTGAAGACCATTACATGAGGTTGAAAGCTCTGGAAAAAGTTATTAAGTGGACCTATTTGTAACTTTTGTATGTGCTTATATATGATTTTGTGTTCTTGTGTAATCAAGATAAATGGTAATGTCATACATTATTGCATAAATAATATCTTTTAATACATTCCCCTTCAAAGCTTTCTTAGTATGCAGTTTATCTGTGTCTCTAATAATATTGTTGTTTTTTTTTAAATTCAAAATGGTTATTATTTGGGACTTAAGATTATGGAGAGTCAAATTTCCTCAATGTTTAATCAAATATTAAGAGTTTGATTCCTGCAAAACAAACAAAAAAGTAAAGACAAAAAAATAAAATAAAATAGAATTATTTTACTGAGTTTAGTATTTTATTGTTATTGTTATAACAGTTTATTTATTTAAATCAACTGCACATATGATCAGTTGCACAACTCTAAATTGTTTCTTGCTAATCTGGTTTTCCTCTCCTTCCTTGTCTCCTTTCTCCTTCCCTCCTCTCCTCCTCCTCTCTTCTCCTCTCGTCTCGTCTCCTCTCCTCTCCTCTCAGTGCAGGCTAGCTTGCCTCCTCTCCTCTCCTCTCCTCTC